GGTGGTGGTGGTGGTGGTGCTGCTGCTCCTGCTGCTGCTGATGATGATGAGGATGAGGAGGATGAGAAGGAGGAGAAGGAGGAGGAGGCGGAGGGGGCGGAGGATGATGATGAGGAGGAGGAGGACTTTGGGAAAGGAGGAGGCGGATGAGGAGGGAAAGGAGGACGTATAATTATTGAGAAACGAGGAAGGACGACGATGAGGAGGATGAGGGGGACCAGGGAAACGAGATAGAGGAGAGAGAGAGAGAGAGAGAGAGAGAAAAGGAGAGAGATGGCCGAGGAACAATAACAGTGTACACCCCGATGCTTCAACGATGCTGCAAAGCACCCTTCATCCAGAGGCCCTTTTCACTATGCAGTCGGCGTTCCAACTAAGAAGCCAGCCTGCCAGCGGGTGCCGAAGGACAATTTCGTATGGTCGTTGGGCCCGCATCGCCCTGGGACACCTTCCCAAGTTCAGAGTAGACGAAGGCTGTGCCCCCTAAATTACTCATCGCAAGATTTCTCATCGATGTGACTACTGTATCCTGCAGGCATGTTCCCATTGCGGGAAGCGCCCCCTTCTAAATATGATCGCGCAATGGCTTTCCATTCGGGCAGGAGGCCCGTTTCGAGACATACCCGGCCCTATTTTTTCCCAGGTGTAGGGGTGCCATTAGATATGACCTCACATTCCAAGGAAGCGCGCGAGAGCCCCGTTGTGAAGAGGAAACGCTCTCTATCATTGTAAGGACTGTGCGGTTCGACACTTATGGAAGCACAGCCGAAGGAGGGCCCCATTCGAAAACTACACTTCGAACAACAGGGTAGCTGTGACCCACCCGTGTAGCAAGTGCGCAATGTTGCGCCTCCGGTTATAAGACCTGCGGAAGTCCCAACGCGATCACCCAATTTTGAACACGCGCCGCGATCCATCCGTGTAACGCGAATATGTGCGGCGTTCATTGTGGACACGGATCGCCGTGCATCCCAGTTGCCGTTGAAAGCGTGTTTGACCTGGGCGCGTGGCTCTAGGGTGAGAGCCCTGTTTTGAACGTGATCCCACCTCCATCCGTATAACGGCTGGAAGCTTATCGGGATCATGTGCGCGGCTATAAGGCGAGAGCCAAGTTTTTTAAACGCGTCGGCAATCATCCGTGCAGCAGTTGGGATTTTCAAGTTTCGGGGAAGCAGGCGTGGATGAAGTCTGGCACAGAGAACCTACCCCGTCCTACCGGTGGTTCGACCACAGCAAAAAATGATGGAGGATGATGAGGAGGAGGAGAAGGAGGAGGATGAGAAGAAGGAGGAGGAGGATAACAGTTATATTAGGTTTACGAAGACGAGGAGGACGAGGAGGGTGACCAGGAGGAGGAGAAGGAGGAGGAGGAGGAGCAGCATGAGGAAGAGGTTGCGAGGCGAAAGGGTTAGAGGGAAGGTGTCTGAGGCAAGATGTCTGCAGGACAGAAGTGAAGCGAGGGGAGGGGGGAGGAGGGAGGAGGAGAAGAAGGAGCAGGGAGGAGGAGGAGGAGGAAGAGGAGGAAGAGGGATGAGGTAGGATATAGGTTGTGGGAAATGGGCGGAGGATTAGGAGGAGGAGGACGTGGAGGAGGAAGGGGGGGAGGAGGAGTGGGGGGAAGGAGGAGGAGGAGGAGGAGGAGGAGGAGGAGGAGGAGGCTGGGAGCAGGCATGACGGAGGAGGCAGGAGGAAGGAGGGGCAGGCATGAGGGATGGAGGATGCATGGAAGGGGGAGAAGAGGGAGTGCGAGGGGGAGGGTGGCAAGCTAGGTGCTCTCGCGCCATATCCGACATCCTATCCCTTCTCCCTCCCTCCCTCCCTCCCTCCCTCCTTCCCATGCCTTCCCATTTCGCGATTATCTTCTAGATCCCTGGACGCGTGCCATAGCCGACCTGGAACTCCACAACCGAACCCATCGTGTTCTGCGCAATCGGAGGAGGGCAGTTGCGTACATAGGATCATGATGATGATGGTGATGATGATGATGTTGCTGATGAGGATGGTGATGATGATGCTGATGATGTTGATGATGATGATGATGTTGTTGACGATGCTGATGATGACGACGACGATGATGATGATGATGATGATGATGAGGAGGAGGAGGAGGAGCAGGAGGATAACGACGACGATGATGATGATCATGATGCTGATGATGATGATGGTGATGATGATGATTATGATGATGTTGATGATGATGATGATCATGATCATGATGATGCTGCTGCTGCTGATGATGATGATGATGATTACAATGCTGCTGCTGCTGATGGTAATGATGATGATGAAGATGCTGATGATGATGATGATGATGATGAGGATGATGATGACGATGATGATGATGATGATGATGATGATGATGATGATGATGATGATGATGATGATGATGATGATGATGATGATGATGATGATGATGATGATGATGAGGATGAGGATGAGGATGAGATGAGGATGATGATGATGATGATGAGGATGAGGATGAGGATGAGGATGATGATGATGATGATGATGATGATGATGATGATGATGATGATGATGATGATGATGAGGAGGAGGAGGAGGAGGAGGAGGAGGAGGAGGAGGAGGAGGAGGAGGAGTAGGATGAAGAGGGGGAGGAGGAGAAATCTGTGTCGTTTGAGCAGGAGGATGGCCAGGAGGAACAGGAGGAGGAAGAGGAAGGATGCGGACGCGGACGATAGCAGCAGCAGCAGCAGGAACTGAAGTGGAAGGAATGGGAGGAGCTGGAGGACCAGGGGAAGGTGGAGGAGGGGAAAAGAGGGTGGCGACAACGAGGAAAAAATGACTTGGATGCAAAGAAGTGGCTCGCGCTGGGGCGAGATCACCATTCTGAACCACGGGAGCACAGCGCCGATCCAAACACGAGGCCAACGCTGAAGCGGGAACACCATGTTGAAATACCGAAAACAATCAGATGGCCCCAGTCCTGTGTCTAAAAATTCGGCCCAGTCCTGGGTCTGAAAAACAAGATGCGGAGAGGGCGGAACATCTTCCGGACAGGGTCAGGGGAGAGGAGACCAGTATTTATATTGAGCAAGTGTAGGACATGAGACAAAGAGAGAGAGAGAGAGAGAGAGAGAGAAAGAGACAAAAAACACAGTTGGCCTGGCAAAGGACCCAACCATATGCAGTTGTGAGTGCCGCAGTTGTAGGTATCACATTCGGTGGAGCTCTCTATCGGCCACGAAGCGCTGTACTGGGTGGGGGTGACCCATGTGGACACCGCCACTGGGGCCTTAGGTGGAGCTCCATATGAAGCCACGAAGCGCTGTGCTGGGTGGGGGAGACGCATGTGGACACCGCCACTTGGGGCCTTAGGTGGAGCACCCTACGGGGCCACGAAACGCTGTACAGGGTGGGGGAGACCCATGTGGACACCGCAACCTGTGCTTTAGGTGGAACTTCTTGTGGAGCCACGAAGCGCTGTGCTGGATTAGGGGGTCTTCAGCTGTCGCCATCGTATTCGCTGTTGATGAAGCTGCCGTCGCCGACAGCGCGTGAGACTGTCGTCGCCCGTGCTCGAGCGATATCGTCGACGCATGTGGACACCGCCACTGGGCCCTTATGTGGAGCTCCCTAGGTGGCCACGAGGCGTTGTGTTGGGTGGGGGAGACGCATGTGGACACCGCCACTGGGGCCTTAGGTGGAGCACCCTTTGGAGCCACGAAGCGCTGTGCTGGGGGGGGAGATGCATGTGGACGCCGCCACTGGGGCCTTAGGTGGAGCACCCTATGGGGCCACCAAGCGCTGTTCTGGGTGGGGGAGACGCATGTGGACACCGCCACTGGGGCCTTAGGTGGAGCACCCTATGGAGCCACGAAGCGCTGTGCTGGGTGGGGGAGATGCATGTGGACACCGCCGCTGGGACCTTAGGTGGAGCTCCCTGTGGGGCCACGAAGCGCCGTACTGGGTGGGGGAGACGCATGTGGACACCGCCACTGGGACCTTAGGTGGAGTTCCCTATGTGGCCACGGCACGCTGAGGGCATGCGCAGGGCAGAGGCAGGGATGGGAGGAGGGAGGGAAGGAGGGAGGGATGGGATGGGATGGGAGGAGGGAGGGGAGGAGGAAGGAAGGAGGGAAGGAGGGAGGGAGGGAAGGAACGCGGGGACCGTCCCTTCAAAACGAGGACGCAACAACACAGGATGGTTGGGAAAAACAGGATCGAGGGTGGGAGGGCGAAGAGGGGCAAGGGGGAGGGGCTGGCGCAAGGTGGAGGAGGTCCCTGGAAGACGGGCTCACGGAAGCCAGCGTTCTCCCCTTCAGTGAGGCCAGCGGCGGTCCGAGCCGGGCCGGCCCTGGGCGACTGTCCGCTGCGGGCGCCGGCGCAGGAGCTGCGCGCCCGCACGCCGCGGCGCTGCCGCGCCACCCCGCGGCGGCCCCGAGGGCGGAGCGCCTGCGCCGGCCACGGCGCGCAGCACCCGGCATCGCGGCTGCGCCGCCGGGGCGCTGCAGGCCGCGGCCTTCGCCACGCGCCCGCGGCAGCGCGGCGTCGAGTCCACGTCGGGACAGCGGCGGGCCCCTCGAGCCCTCGTTGTCGCCTCCTCTCCGTCCTCCCCTGCGCCCTCCCCCCCGTCCTCGCCGCCTCGTGTTTGCCTTCTTCTCCCTCGCAGTTCTGCTTCGTCTTCCTCTTCTTCTTGTTCCTATGCCTCCTCTTCCCCTGCTTGGCCGCCCCTCCCCACCTCCCCTCCCCTCCTCCTCCCTTCTCCTCCTCCTTCTCCTCCTCCTCCTCCTCCTCATCGTAGGCCTCCTGCTCCCAAGCTCTCCTTCCTCGTCCTCGTCCTCTCCTACTGGTTGTCCTGGTCTCCCCTACTCCTTTTCGTCGTCGTCGTCGTCCTGCTCCTCCTCCTCCTCCTCCTCCTCCTCCTCCCCATCCTCCTCCTCCTCCCCATCCTCCTCTTCTTCCTCCTCTCCCTCCTCCTCCATTTCTTTCTCGTCGTCGTCCTTCTCCTCATCAGCCCTCGTCTCGCCCGGTGCGTTCAGGAGGACAGCGACCTACAGCACAAGCAGGAGCTGCTCGCGCTCGTCCCCGATGCCCACTTCTGCACTCTCGTCGTCGTCGTCGTCGTCGCCGCCGCTGCCATCGTCGTCGTCGTCGTCGTCGTCGTCGTCGTCGTCGTTGTCGGCGCCACGTCGTGGTCGTCGTCGTCGTCCTCGTGCGACGATTGCGACGACGACCGAGAGGACGGAGGAGGAGGATGAGGATGCTGAGAACGTTTTAGGAGGAGAAGGAGGATGTCGTCGTCGTCCTCGTACGACGTCGTCGTCGTCGTCGTCGCCGTCGTCGTCGTCGTCGTCGTCGCCACGTCGTCGTCGTCGTTGTTGTCGTCGTCGTCGTCGTTGTTGTTTTCGTCGTCGTCATCTTCGTCGTTGTCGGTGTTGTTGTCGTTGTCGTCGTCGTCGTCGTCATCGCCATCGCCGTCGGCACCGTCGTTGCCTGCTCTTCTTTTTTTTGTGGTGTTTCTCGTCTGCACTGCTATGTTGTTGCGCATCGCCGGAGGTTCGTGCAGTCATGGCCGCCCTGTT